TAAAGTGCCGTTGTTACTTAATGCACATTAGTTTTAAAAAGTCTGTTTCATCGGGTGTTAAAAGTCCATTAAAACATGCATATTTTAGTATTTTGTTATCTTCTGATAACACTTCCTTGATTTTCATCAATGTCACGCCTTACAATTTGGAGAGTAAATATCCAGTAGTTTCAAGAGACAGCATCTTTTATTCCAGCTCCAACAAGTTCAAGAAAATGTTCTATATTTAAATAACTTCATTATAATAGTTCCCTTTTTATCAACAGTACATTCATTTGCCACATGGTCAGAGGATAGACTTCATCAAAATCCCTTCAAGGTAGGTTTCAGTTACAGCCAATACTAAGACGTAAATGTCCAAACTTTCTTGTTTCCATCAACTTCTAGATTCCTGACACACTGACAAAAAAATAAAAACAGGTGACAAATACTTTATACCTTGAGTGATCAGAAACAATGTTTTACCAACTTTTCAGGAAAAAACATTGTGCATCTTACTTTGCTTACTGTACAATAATCTGAATCTGCTTTTCTACTTTCAAAATTAGATTTTCTTCCTTGTACATCCATAAAAACTAAACTGAAGTCTACTGAGAACTATAAGACAGATCTACAAGCTGCCTGGGATTCCCTCTCACCTGTCTGGATTGTCCTATTTCCTGTGTGGTCAGGACATGTCTTCTAGTTCTGACAAGGAGACATGCGTTGTTGTTCTTGAAGAAGAAAGAGGTGTCAGAAGAAATTAAATCTGAGGAAAAAATGGTGCACTGCACATCTAGAGGAGCTGTACTTAACATGGAAAAATTGCTTACCATCTGTCAACAGAAAAGATTCCTAAAGCCTTCAGAACCATAATTCCTTTTGGCTATCATACCTAGTGTGATGGACTGAGCAGTCAAAGTTGAGCCAGGCACAAGTTTAAAATAAAAAAGAATTGGTTTTTATTTAACCCAAAACAGAAACTCTGGTAAATAATAAAAAAAAGACAAAGTTGAGATCATAAAAGAGGACAAAGTAACAGACTTCAATTCAGACCAACTCAAACAAACAGACCTCTCTAACTGAGACAAGGGGGAAACTTAAGTACTGGCTGATCAGGCCACATAGAAGACACAAAGGGGAGAACACACAAAAACCTACCTGAAACTAACATTAGAGAATCCCCCCTCCCCTTCCTGTGGTATGGACCAGTATGCAGTCTCCATGGGCTTTCTCCACCTCTTTGTTCCCCTGAAGGACTGGAGCACTCAGGTAACTCAAAACAAAGGTTAAATCAAGCAAAACATATAACAGTGTAAACTAAAATGTGCGTACTTATTCTAGAATACAGTGTTATGGTGTGTTGCATTCTAAACAAAAGCCAGTCATTCTGTAAATTAAATCCTAAATTTTAAAGAAATCCAAATATGACTGTGGTGAGACTAAGTGAACTATTGTGTGTAGTGTGATTGAATTTGTGTGGCTGTAACAGCAGTAAATGTTTGGTTCTCCCAAAAAGAACACCAAAGAAATACCGGTAAAAAAAAAAGAGTGAAATAGCTTCTATGCATATTCCAATGTATTCATAAGTGAACCAACAGAAACATAATGAACTACTTAAAGCAGAGAGCATCTGCAATGGGATGGTAGAAACCTCTCCACCAGCTTAAGATGCCCCAAGATCCACAGATGCATCAAAGGCCCCTGAGCCAGGTCCAGGCAGAGGCCAGCATACACACTGAACCAGAACCCTGGGACATAATGACCAGGACCACCGTCTAGGGGCCAAGGGAGGCCCCCAGATTCACCCAGGAGCAGCACAACCACCAGAACAGTAACTATGAACTTTATCAGGAGTTCTTTAGGATACAATGGGAAAAATTGATGTGTTCTTTTCACAGCCTCACTGTCTGAGAAAAGACACAGACATTCTAGAACAACGAGATTCCTCTGTTTCATTTTTCCATCAACGTCAGTATTCCACTCAGCTAACATGTTCTGACAGATCAGAACGTTTACACCTGAATGACGCTTTGAGATGGACAGTTTTGATCACAGATTGGGACTAAGTGAACGTTAATCAGATGGAACAAACAGGAATCTGCTTCCCAGCATTTATAACAACTGTGGGTGGAGCAAATCGCTTTCCGGAAGAGTAAATGTTGCAACAATGAAATTTTAAATCATGTGACTTCACAACTCAACCTACAACCTACAAGGTGTTATCAAAGAGGCGTGGTTAGGGATTTATAGCTGAGCTAGAGTTTAAAAGGAGAATTATGCACAGACTCAAAGTCTAACAGAGATACTGCACACATCCCAGCTGATAGACAGAAGTTCACATGAACCTCATGCCAATGTGGAAGGGAGTCATGGACAGACCAGAGGAGTGCAACAGGGCTGTGTTGGTGTCTGTGGCAAACTTTGACTATGGGGTTCCCTTGGGAAGGAGGCCGGGGGCCAACTGTGACGCTAAGAAGCTCCATTGCATCCTCACTAAACTGGGCTACAAGGTGGAACTTCACATGGACCCAAGCAGCAAGGAAATCTACAAGCTGTTCTCTGAAGGTAACAGATCAATGTCAACTTCTGAGCTGTCAGATTCATTCATTCATTTCCAGAAGGGTTTGTTTAACTCTGTAGGGAGCAAATGGGCGTTCTTTGTTTTCCTTCTTATTTGGACTCATGTAAATTTTTTACTGTTACAAGAAAAAAGATGTCATGCCAATACCAAAGCTCTCAGACTCACAGACAGTTTTCCTGAAGGACCTTGCAAACCTAGTTTCAGTTTCCGTCATGATTCCCATGGCAGCTTCTCCAAAATGAGCTAAAAAGTGTTGTATCATGTTAACAAGAGATCTTCTAATTTTTTCTGAGCTGTATATCTATATAGAAAATGAAATGTGTTGATAAAGCTGTCTGAGAACAACCACTCTCCATGGCTCAGGTTCCATCCCTTCAAAGATCAGCTAGAGCTAAACTTTAAGGTCCCGAAGGTCAAAGCTCCACATATCCTGGAAAAAGGTTTGCATTAGTGAGCTCCAGTCTAGAATAACTGAACCAGCAGGTCTGTGAAATGTGTTGATCTGTCGGTTTTCCATTAAACCTTCTTAACGTCTTATCTAATGGCCTCGGCAGAAAAAAGTTTTCCACAGAATATTTAGAACCTGATTGGACGTTTTAACCAAAGTCTTCTTTTTTGCAACTTATTGAAAAAAATCAAATCAGACAAAAGCTTCAGGACTCATATAGAACATGTTGCCTATAACAGCTACATTGTCAAATATCATCACAACAATAATACATGATTGAAAGGCAAGTTTTCCAGTTGGGATTATCTAACACTGAGTCAGAAAACTATGTGTCATTAGAACTAAGAAGGAGGAAAACCTCAGTGTTCAGGCTGGGTTTATTGCTTTTTATCACTAATAGATAAAACTTTATTGATTGAGATGAATGAAAGAGGAGTGTAGGAACACCTGCTGCCTGTTTCTCTGTCAACACCCCCTTTGATTAAACACAGTTCAGTGACTGTTACACAGAAAGGTGCATTTTTAACATTGTGTACAACCACATGAAGCTTGTTGCTTAACCTGCTCCCTTAGTCACTGACAGTAATGTCTGTAATGTTGGCTGTTTGCGTTGCCTCAGAAAGCAGGCGGCCTGTGAAGGAGTGCTTCCTGGCTGTCCTGTCGTCTCATGGGGAGGAGGGCTGCGTGTTCGGATCGGATGGGAAACCTGTCCAACTGTCTCGTGTCTTCACATACTTTGATAATGAATGCATGGAGAAAAAGACCAAACTGTTCCTCATACAGGTATGCCTTTATTCTTAGTGACACACAAACAGCACAACAGTGACGATTTCATTTGAATTACAGAAGACTTCAACTCTTCTCACACTGATGTTTTCTTGGTTGGTTTGATGCATCTCCATTCCACCCATGCAGGCGTGCCGGGGAGGCGCTCTGGATGATGGAGTGGAGGTTGATTCATCAGTCAGCAGATTCCCACACTATTTTTCTGTTCCCGTGGATACAGCTGTGATGTTCGCCACAGCACCAGGTGAATAATCAGTTAGACTGCAACTTAAAGAAGCAATCAGTGATGTCTATTAAAATTGAAATCTGACATAAATGAATCAGTTTATAAATCTTTTGTCTTTTCCATCAGGTTATGGTGCGTTCATGAATTTCACTGGATCAGTCTTCCTGCAGACGTTCTGCTCATTATTGGAAGAGGAGGGTCACTCTAACCTGGAGCTGACTCGGCTGATGACCCGACTCTCCCACAGGGTTGCCTACACCTTCGAGTCCAAAGGGAGGAAGTATGGCGGGAAGAAAGAGATGCCATGCTTTCTGACACGACTGACCAGAGATGTGTTCCCGTTTGCAGAAATGGAGAAAGACAGGAAAGCGGAGACAATATCTGCCACATCATTGGTTGTTTCACAGAATACTAGACAACGTATTGTTTCACTAAGTTAGCAAGCAGTTTTCCTGCATGCTGACTCAGCACATATGTAGACTGGCATGATCAGGAACATCACAAGGGGCTGCACAGTGGCACAGTTGGTAACATTGTTGCCTTGCAGCAAGAAGGTTCTGGGTTCAATTCCCCACCCCAGTCTTTCTGCATGGAGTTTGCATGTTCTCCCTGTGCATGTGTGGGTTTTCTCCAGGTACTCCAGTTTCCTCCCACAGTCCACAAACATGACTGTCAGGTTAATTAGCCTCTCCAAATTGTCCCTAGGTGTGAGTGCATGTGTGTGCATGGTTGTTTGTCCTGTCTGTGTTGCCCTGCAACAGACTGGTGACCTGTCCAGGGTGAACCCTACCTCTTGCCAGGAACATTAGCTGGAGATAGGCACCAGCAACCCTCCTGACCCCACTAAGGGACAAGGGTGTAAAGAAAATGGATGGAAGGAACATCACAAACAGGTGACAACAGATAAAGTGGGAACTGTGTAACTGATATTTCTGTAAAACTATATATTGGTAAAGGAAACATTGAGTTTTTTGTTTCTACATCATGTACATACATATTATATATTTAATTAGGAGAAAATTATTTACTTGTATTTAAAGTAAAATGTAAAAACTTCTATTTTTCATGATCTTTTCTTAGTCACTGACTTTTCTAAATGAAAACAACAACTACAAAGAAATATTGCCTGGAATCTGTGAAAGAATGCTAACAGAAAAATGATACAGTCTCTGCTGGGTTGATAATCCAGGCTGGGCACAAAGATACATGTTAACATTACTGGAAATTCAACCAAAATGTTGGCCTGATTTTGTCTGAGTAACAATGCATGCAGCTGCCCTGTCTGGTGCTCAAATGTCCTGTAGCATCAAATGCAACACCATGAACAGGCCAGAATGTCTTGATGAGGATAATGAGTTCCACCTGTTGGTGTGATATCATTATTCAGTAAACATAAAATTATGAAGGAGTAAACATTTGTTTTTCTGCTCCTGGAAATTATTTGTTGCATAGCACATTACCAAAAAAAGTCTCTTTGTGTTGATATGATTTTAAAAATAATCACTCAAAATGTCAAAGGGTTCAATGACGTTGTAAAAATATAAAAAAATAATTCTATTCTATTTTCTATTCATCTTGTAGCACATACAGTTAAGGTGTGGCCATCCTAAATCAATGTCATATTCCATTAGCCAGAGAAATAGTGGGCAAAACCCTGTAGGATTCTTTCCTTGGGTCATTAACTTGGAGATTTATTCTTATTGGATGAGTCTACGGCTCAGACTCTTTTTTTCTCCAATTTGTTTTCTACCGTCTCGTCGAAACCCTCTCCACACTGAGCTATATGATATTTGGGGGTTGACTTTAAACACTGACAAACCTCCACCAGAGTCTGACTTATCTCAGAAAATCCCCAAATTGAAAGTTTTGTTGTGATTTAGAAACAGTTCCGCCTGCTGGCAGAAATTTCAGATGACCAGCAGCGTTCAGTGTCTATTATTTCATATTTTTTTTCCAAGATTATCTAAGAGAGGAGTCACAGCACAACTTGTCAGCAGAGGTTTGGGAAACTTCAGTCCATTTCAGGTGAAATAATGGGTGAGCTGAATTGTTACTCTTCAGATAGAATGTTGATAATGTGTTAGACGGTATTTTCTAAAATCAGATAATCAGAAGGAAGTATTAAATGTCGCAGTGACATCATTCTTAAAAGAAGGAAAAGACCTGGTGCTTTTCCCCCTGAGGAGTCACCTTTTTCTCTTTTAAGACTTATGCTCCCAATACTATGATTAATATATAATAATTTGCAAACCAGAAAAGTATGGATTCATATAGGCCAAACAGCCTTATCAATGTAAACATACTTTTAGGTTGTTGAAGATGAGACTAGAGGGCCATCTCCCATCTCTTATGAATCCTGATCAAACAGGCTTTATCCAACATTCAAAGTTTTTTTCACATCTCTATTTGACAGAGTAGATTGATATCAGAAAGATTTGGCACACGTTATGTATTAAGTCCCAAAACCAGTTTCTTTCCGGACCAAGCACGCTTACTTCATTTAGGCACTTGCTCAATCAGAGTAATTATACCAAGTAGTCACCTATCTGGCACTTACCTCACACAATAGCTTTTGAAAACTAATTTATTTCATTTAGAACAGGGTGGCTCTTCTTTCTCAGCCTTCAATTCCTCTGATTGTTTTAACAAATCATAAATGCAGCATGTAATAAAGAGTGTTTAATCTTTAAATGCTTTATCATATTACTCATTTAAAGACATCTTTTGCTAGAGTTTAGATCTGCAGCAAAAGTCCGACCCAAAATTCAGGCTGTCAAAATTACTCTCTTGATGTTTCGGTCAGATTCAGACTTCTGTGGCGCATTTCATATTCCTGCAATACATACGAGAAAGCCAAAACACGTGATAAAGTTCTGTTAGTCTACTTATTAAAGTCTAAATAGAAGAGCAGGTCGCATGTTGAGTGGCAGAAAGAGAGGTGAAGATGATCATTAGACTGTAACAGGTGCAGTACATCGCGCTGCCCTCCAGTCACATCACAGATGACCAGTTAAAAACAGGAAGTTACCCTGCTTAATGGAGGTCTAAACACTAAAATAGTAAAAGCTTAATGAGTAAAAACATATTAAATGGATGCACTTACTTTTTATGCTTGTAGAACAATAACTGCAATGTGGAGAATACATAATTAATTACTGAATGTCTGCTGACTTCTGGGAAATAGAGTGCTCAAAGTCCATTAGATATGAATTACTTGACCTTATAAGTGAAAGTGATAGAAAAAAAAAAAACCTCTCAATACCCAGAACAATTTAGGTTTACTCTGGTCAAAGCCGTTTCTGCAGAATGTGCAGACCTGAACCCAGAGAGAGACAGCTGCTGTGATCTCAGATGGTGATGCATTTATGTATTTATATGGCAACAACCTGAAACTTCAAAAAGAAACGTCTGTGAGATTCCAGACTGGCTCAGCCCAGCTGTTAGTTGGAGCAGAAGAAGAGTTGATTTTAGCTCCATGAGTCCAGGAATCTATAACACTGATCATCTGTTGAATGGGAAGATGAAGCAGCACGTGGTCTAAGATGATGATGATGATGAATTTTGCCTCTGAACCATGTTGGAGAAATGCAGCAACCAAACATCTTTCAGAGATTCTGTTCTTTCATGAAGAACCACACATGGTTTATAGAAGGCCCTATCTGGCTCTATGCAAAGTCAAACAACTGGAAATAAATTGCAGAATTGTAAAATTGAATATTTGAGTATGAAGTTTTTTCCACATTCACATTAGCTACTCAACCCATTTCAAAATGTTCAACAAATAGATAATCCAAATTGTATAGATGTTCAGTAGGAAAAGAGATGATTTTGAGCTAGGATGCTAAAACTCCTGTAAATATATGACTAACATTGTTTTGTAGCTCCGATTCTACCACATAAGAATTCTTTATTTTTTACTTTTTGGGAAGATTCCAGGAAATATTGTGAGGGAAAAGTCTTGGTTTTAGGTTCCTGAGGAAGAAGTGATCTTCTGATTATCACCGAGTGCCAGCCTTCATTTCAAGCTTCACCTTATCAAACGCGTCCCTGGCCTCATTCCACCCAACCATGGCTTCATCCACCAGAACTGGCTCTCCTCTCGTCTGGAGCCAAATTAAATCAGTCATGGAAAGCTGTGAACACACATTTATTTCCACCTACTTCCTTATGTGGACTCTGCTGTTGTTTGAATTACGCAAGTGTCTCTTTCCTTCAGTGTGCTGAGATAAATGAGAAACACCAGACATTTTACACAACAGCATGAGTCGTTCCTTAACCTGTAAACAAGAATTCATTTAAGGTCTGTCAGGAAATGGGTCAGTGCTGTGAAAAGGTGTTCACTGCTTACAGATCTCTTGTGATTTTCCTTTATTTGTCTCACTTAAAGTTAGGCTAAACAAATGTTAATTTTGGGATAAAGCTAACATGAACAAATAAATAAATAAAACTGCCCAACACCACCAGGTTCTATGGGAAAAAATTCATTTCCTCCTAAACTAGCTGTCCCACTCTGGACATCAAATTTGATAATTGTCCATGCATTGGCCCACTTTGTTTATAGCAATGTTTTAAGGATTTTGAATATGTGTATGTGTGTTAAATATCATACTAAAATACATGTACTGAATTTAAGTCTAGACTTTTACTAGGCCACTCAGATTTTTCTCAGAGTCAGAGTGTCTCAGGTGGGGAAAACTGACAGGACTTTTGTAAACAAAAAGTGCAAGCTAGCAACAAAAACACAGCAGATTTTGTCTGGCCTGCTACTCCTCACTGGGCTACAACCTGGTATGAGGTCATGCACCTGGTTAGTAATAGAGGTCAAAGTTCACTCCCCCCAAAGCTAAGGAAACATATAGGGTAGGGTTGAGTTGAGACCGACACTCCAGAGAGAAAAACCTTCGTCATCAAGTCTCTCTGGCAGACAAAGAAAACAAAGAAACATGCACATGACAATTGTTAAGCCTATTTTTAATGAATCATACGACTGATTTATTCCTTATAATGGATGACGTGTTTAACCACGTCCTGATTTAATTAACAGACTGGAAATAGACAACAGGTTGTCTCCATAGAAACTAGATCCTTACAGATGCTATATAGAGGCCTGCAGTTGAAGCTGGTGGCAGAAGAAGCAGAAGTTTAGGTTTAACACTTAAGATTCAGGTTCATAGTTAGAATGTTCTACCAGTAGATTCTTGGGTTCTCCAGTTTCCTCCTCAATCCAAAAAGTGTTAGGTTCATCGTTACTTTAATATCTCAATGGTTGTTCATCCAGTCTGTTTTGCTTTGATAGACTCCACCCTCACAAAGCCATCTTTCCTCTCTTAGTCAGTCAGGCTTACCAAACTGAAGAGATTTTTTTATTGGCTAAATGCCAAAACAATGAGAGCATGTTTGTATTTTGTGTGAATTTATTAACATGAAGAACCATCAACTAGCTTAACATGAAGAACTACAAAGTGAAAAAAAAAACTTATCTGAAACAAACTCTTGTGCCAAACCTCACCTTCACATAAAAACTGTTTCCTCCTAGTAAGAAAGTAGAAAAAGTGAAATAGTCAAAAAAATAATCAAAAATACAGATTTTAGATGCAGTCAAATATTGACCAAATATGTCCTTTTCATACTGGTATAAAATATGACAAGTCTATAAAAAGTAAAAAAAAAAAATAAAAAAAAATAAAATGAAATAAAAAAAAGCTTATTTACAGGATGTAGAAAGAGGCACATTTCATGTTTCAGATCCTCTGAGCTGATTGGCTGTTCAGAGGAGACGAATCATCGGTGGGAGGAGGTGGGAGGGGGATGGAAGAAGGGGTGAGACAGTGGCTGAGGGGAGCTCCTGGAGGAGGCTGTGTGGGGGGAGGAGGTGGGTGTGTCTGTAGAGGAGGGGGTGGGGGGCCCTGGGGTGACGGCGTTGCGGCCCACAGAGTGGGTGATGCGGGGGGGCTTGGTGGTGAGGGAGAGCGGCTGTAGCTGCTCGCCGTAGGGGGAGCAGTGTCCGCTGTGGCTGTAGGAGGAGTGTGTGTGCTCGGTGTGTGTGGCAGCCGGGCCGGCGGGCGAGGCCAGCGCCGTGGTGGGGGTCGCCGGGGAGTCCAGGGATGAGGCAGGACTGGCCTGGGAAAGCTGGGTGTGTGTCAGATGAGACACTGTGTGTGTATGCGTCAGGTGAGGGCGTGTGTGTGAAGCTTGTGAGAGCGGAGTGTGTGTGTGTGGCGTCTCCTCTCGAGGTTTCTTTAGCTGTGGAGGGAAGTCGTCTGCTGCTGCAGCAACTGCGGAACATAGACACACACACACACAGAGTGTGAGAGAGAGAGGTGAAGCTGGAACCTCAGGTCAGATCCAGGTTACAGCAGCTCCATGACTCTTACAACTGGATGACTGACGCAGGAAGTAGCTTGCTTTAGTTTGAGCTGAAGCTGCATCATTCATACCAGTCCTGTTCAGAACTCCAGTCTGCTGCGATTAATGATAATGTTCAGGTTTTTATTGTTTTTCTGGAGACCAATAAGCATCCTTATAATGATTGATGTGATAAATGGAGTACAACAGATTTTTCGGTGGGTGCATGCATACAGGTGGAGTGGAGACTGATGCAGATAGATTGAACACATCGGGCTGCCGTAGGTGATGCTTAGCCCCTTTGTAGCTTTACAGATGAACCCAGAAATAAATTTCACATCATCTTGGTCACAACAAGCAAATTATGGCGGTACATAGCTAGTAGATGTGTTTCTGTGTGATGGAGGTCCCAAATATCCTGTCACCAACATGAACACAAAATCCATAAATGTCTGGGGAAAGTGAGAGGTCTGCAGCTGCTGTACTGGTTTGGTGCTTTCAGAACAGAAGCTGTGCTCGATGAGGAGCCTCCCTGACTCAGGTTTAGAACCTCATCTTTTTGTTTGACTGTTGCTTGATTTGGATTTAAAAGCAGCCAGACTTTAGATGGGGAAAAATAAACTATACCATTTCATAGAAACAAAAAAACTAAGGTGTTTCACATCCAAATTAATCTCCCCGTCTCTACAGTAGAACACAGCATGAGTTTCACAACTTACAAACCCCAAAACAGACATCTGATCTCTAGAGCCATGTTCTACAATATACAATGACTGAGTAACCTAGCAACATGTCATCTCACCTTCCAGCTGAGTTTCACTCTTCACCCTCTTCCTCTTCTTCTTCTTCCCCTGCACAGACATGAGCCAGGTGAGGATGTGATGTTGTGTGTTCAACAATGATGGTGTGTGTTCAGCAGTCAGTCTACTCACATAGTTGTCTCTGGCTGACCAGTTGGGGTAGAGCTTTGAGTGCAGCAGTCTCTCTTTGCGAGCCAGATCATAATATTTGGCTTGTTCCTCTTTTGACAGCGAATGCCACTGTGAACACATGGTAACAGAGGGTAATTAATTCAGCACACGCACGCACACACACGCGTGCGCACACACACACACACACACACACACACACACAAAATGGTGTGTGTGTGTGTGTGTGTGTGTGTGTGGCTGTGATTCAGCCTGATGACCTGACCATCACATTTGGTACAGGTTACCTGAAGGCGTTTTTTTCTATGGATAATGTCTAGTAACAAAGCGACTGACCCGCTGGCCCAGGATCTGGTTAATGGTGGCGCTCTCCTTCACTTTGCACTGAGCCACAACTTTGGGCCTCTCCTCCCTCATGTAGAGCATGAAGGCGTTGAGCGGCTTCTTGATGTGGGGCTTCCGCTCCTCTTCCTGGTCGTGCTCGGAGGTGGAGGGGGGCTTCCTGCAGGGGAGCAGAGGACTCCACCTTCAGGAAGTCATCACAACATGGTTCCTCTTAAACCTTTGAAAGTTTTTAACAGCATTGCACTGAGAAATAGCTCATATGAACTCACTAGAGGGCAGTTCCATCAGGTAGTTGCCAATTGATGGTGGCTAGTCTTAAGGAGGTGAGTGGGGGAGTTGAGGTGGAGAGCTGCTCTGTGAGGTGGAATCTTAGAAACTACAGCTCTGTGGAGGAGCTGAGCCTCAAAGGCAGAGCTAGGTCCATCTAGGCAGAGCTGAATGGTTGCCATGGAGACTAGAGAATTTTTTTCCAACATGAATGAAAGAACCAAGGCTACTCTCCAAGTGTGTTTTGATGAGGGAATAACATTATAACATGTTGGAAAACTCAAAAAGTTAATTTTACATAAGACTGCCTGTTTGAAAAAAAATTGCAAAGGCTAAAAAATATTTTTAAAACTGGTTTTAATTTTAAACATTCCTTCTGTGGGTTGACCTGAATTCAGAGTCGAGATAAATAGAAGATGTAAAACACGCCAAACAAGATGTTAAGCAAGATGGCTGCTTTGGGTGAGCTGACATCACTCTTAATGATGGAAATCTAATGAACACACTGGTGGAAACATCCAGATATTCTAAAAAATGAAATCTTCAAAAACGGAACATTCAACAGATGGATAAAATGGATTTGCCGCCCAGCCCAACATTGCACAGTGTGGTTGTTGTTACCCAGGCTGCTGGCTGTGACTGGCTCCAGGCTCCTGCTTCACTGATGCAGGAACGATGGCCGGGTGGGGAACCGACGTCTGGGGGGGCGGAACCAAACGTGGTGAGAAGCCACTTGACACCAGACTGCAAGGAAGCATTCAGCGTTCCATCAGACCCTGCTGACCTCATCAATACACAGTGGTAAAACTACATCATTATAACAGTATTAAATAATGCATTTTGTTATTTGAGAAGGTTGTTCACTAATTAATAGATAAACATGAGCACAACTAGAACCCAGTAGGACCGGCAGAACTCCATGGTTCAGCTCTGTCCTAAAGCAGACCTGGAACACCAAGAACCTTTCATTAGCTGTGACTCAGCCTGATGACCGGACCGGCCCAGAGCTACGGCAAACTGCCTCATAAAAGCCATGGAGATGGTTGTCATCATGGTGTCCTAACAGCAAACCAAGCCAGCCGTACTGAGGATTTATGATGACTCATCCATCAGGAAATTCTTCCATTCAGAAACACTGGGAATGTAGAGTCCAGCAACACAGGCTGACAGCAGAGGTCGCACTAGACTTTTTTGTTCTCCATCATCTTTACCAACAGTATAAAAAAAAATTGGTCATGTACTATTTTTACCCGTCAAATGATAATCATATTAACATAGGCTAGTTAGCTGCATTTTTATGCGGTTTAGTTAATATTCACCTAATTTAACTGAAACCAGATCTCATCACACATAAAGCAGATGAACGCATCTAACTTTTTCTACATAGTGACAAAACCCACTGACTGTGGCCCCAATAACTTATAATAAATGAAATTAAAGACTCCACTTAAATTACGGTCACTTCACCCGCTGAAATCTGAACGCACAGTGCCTCACAAATTGCTCCTAGTCACATCTGCAGAGAAATCTGTGCTAGTCCATCAGTCAGAATCTGTCTGATCCAAACCAATCAATTGAACTCAGCAAGTTTTTTTACCCCGTGTGCGGTCTGGACGTGTGCTTTTACGATGATCTTTTTGCGTGGTTTCGCTTCCACGAAACGGACAAATGTTACGTCTGCCACTCACCTTCTGGGCGCGGGAGGGTAATGCGAACAAAGAAGGCTCCTTTTATTGAAACCGCAGGATGAGTTAAGTTTAATTGTTTGCAGCGGCAAAGCCGCATCCACATTGGTTCTGCAGTGCACTGCGCATGTTACGGTCTAATTAAATGTTATTAATACATCTTTATTTATTTCCTAAAGATAAACTGCTGGCTCCTCTGTTTAAACCATAAATGGATTAACACAACATTGCATTCTCTTTAGTTTTTTCTGCTCTGTATGCACTAGAGACTTGAATTAAACGCGTCATTTAATGCTGAACGCGCCAAAGGGTCCGGTCCATAACTCTTCAACACGCTGTCAGCTCCGGTCAGAAAGACACATTTAGTTCAGAGT